TTGTATTCACCTGTTTTGTTTTGACTTTCATTACGTTTGGATATTACTTTACAGTAAGTACTACTACGCCATTTCTATTTAGTAGGGGTGCTATATTACTTTTAACTAATAATTACATAAATTTTGTTATTTTATTGATCCTAAAGCTTTCATTCTTTCTTACTAGCTTAGTTTTAATTAATTTCTGTATCAGTTTATTACTAGTTACTTTTGTTATTCTTTTGACATGATTGCTTTATTGCCAGTAATAAGATATGAGTGTTATTTTCTAGCCAAGTATCATGTTCTACAGCTTCTCAGATATGATAAATGGATATTACAAAAAAAGGATATGACAGAGTTATATAAAATTCTGATTGCTCATGTTTTCTTGATATATTTGTTAGCCAAGACAACTTCCATTTTTCGTGTTGTCTATCGGAACACTGAAAACGCCGCATCTCTTGGATGTTTCTTTGCCCTATCAGACCTTGAGATTGTGTGTCGATATTCGACTTCATCCACACCCAAATCCTTAGGATTTTAATACAGAAATTCATTTCAGATTTTTTCCAGTTTCAGGTCAACAAACTTTCGACGAGTTAAAAAGTATCGGTCTTATGATGCTAGAAAGTCCTAAAAGGTAAATTGCGAATATCTCTGATGAATTTTGTTGTCTTTTACCATTTATATAGGTCTTTTAAATGGGTCTCTTGGTGCTGTTTGTTTGTGATGATTGCATGTATAGTTTGTGTTGCACTCATTCCTACATATTTGTCGACATCCACTATTAACACAATGACTGCCACTAGTTAGTATTCACTGATTGTTTTTATTAGATACATATACGTAGTCTTTACTAGTAAATTCACTTCGTTCATTCACTGTTTCTTACATGTTGCCATCTGGATCGACAATAAAGCGCGACACGCAGTCCGTCACAAACCGTACAGCAAACGCGGCTTGCGTAATTTTTGTCTTTTATTTTACTTCATAATGTGCAGTATATATTCTAGCTGGAACAAGCAACTGGTTCTCCCAAAGGTTCCGTCAATATCACCGGCATCAGCAGTTCAGGAGCAACCGGTACCAAAGGTCGACGTCGCCGCAAGTAATTTTAATTTTAATAAATTTCTGCTAACCATAATTGCCTATAACTTTACATATAGCATTCAATGCGATAAAACGGATCGTTCAGGTACTGCTATAGTCTTTGACATCATACTGAATTGTCCACCTGATTTGCAATGTCACACGCTGAATAATGAAATGAAGCTATTTACCAGCATCCGCGAAAAATTCAATAATGTTACAAATGTTAATATTACGACGGATGATGGAAACTATATACCTGTGGATCTCTGTCATGTTCAGTCTTATCTCAATCCCAATAGCAACAATGAGGATGATAAAAGTGCTAATGGTATTGTCATCGGTAAGCAGATTATTTGTTTTAATGAATGAGAATAATTATTAATTATAATTATTTGAGTTAATGACACAATATAAAATATTATTATTGCCATGTTATATTGATTTTGATAAACGAAATCAATATAGTCTTCAGAGAGGTGACTCATTTGTTTAGCTATTTTGTGGAAAATTACGTGTATGATACAAGATTTATGGAAGAATATATTTATTATTTTATTAACTATGATAATTAACAACTTTACTATATTTTGAATAACGATTAATAATAGTATAAGATTCGAAAAAATTTTAGCACTAAATTCATGCTGTGGCAACTTATTTGTTTCAGTTATTGTAATTGAAATATAATTATAAATAGTTATTATAAAAGAAGACAGGCAAGAAAATCCATATAAATGTATTTAAAGCCAAATATATTGTTAATAGATAGACAATTTGTGATTTATAAAGAAAATCTCATTCAATTTCTTGTTTCATATAGAATCGATAGCAACAACAACTACAATAACAGCAACAACTACAACCACAACAACACCAACCACAACAACAACAACAACAAGTACAACTACTACAACAACAGCTGGATTGGGTAAGCAATCGACTACATGACAAGTATTTCCCATCACTGTTCTAAGCAGAATAGATTATATAAAACACTAAAAAAATTATGTTCCATACCAAACTAATGTTAGAAAAAAAACAGTTACAATTAAGTGTAGAAAGAGAAAATTACTTTCGTTTACTAAAACATAAATCCTGCTTCACATTCTGATCATACGCAGAGTACCTTTATATATGTGATTGTTATCGACTTAACCTAATCGTCTGAGCTGGAAGTGGTCCTGTTGTCTAGCTTTTGAAGACTCTATTGGGTTACACTACGTAGACAGATATTCTAACTGTGAATAGATATACTTTATCATGTCAAAATATCGAGGAAACTAGATATTTTGACAAATCGATTTTCAATATAATTATTTAATAATACAATTTCATTGTTTTTAAATCTCTATACTTTAGGAGAAACAGTCTTATTTTTGTAGAAATTATTAGTGTGCTTCTCCACGAGTTCTGCAATTTGTTTGTAGTCAATATTTGAGAGTATGTGTATGGTGATAATAACTGAACATCACTCTGTATTCTGACACCCAATATTCGATCTGTGTTAAGTGTAGAGTATTCAAGTAAAAGATTAATTTACCCGCATGTTGAACGTCATTGAATTACATGAAATTTTGCTTCTTTTTTAGAAAATAAGATATGTATATATTTCACATTTGTATATTTCATTTAGTATGGAAAGCTACAGGAAACATGAATGCTGCAAGAGAGTATCATACTGCATCTAAATTAGCAAATGGAAAAGTACTAGTTGCTGGTGGATATAATGGTGCTGTTCTAAGTAGTGCTGAATTATATGACCCATCAATAGGTATCTGGACACCTATTAGTCCCATGAGTACGCCACGACAATATCATACAGCAACCATACTACAAAATGGAAATGTGCTAATTAGCGGTGGGTATTCTGGTATAGAATATTTAGATAGTGCTGAATTTTATGACTCATCATCAAACACCTGGACACCTACAGATAACATGAATGATGCGCGAAGCGATCATATTGCAGTTATGCTAGGAAATGGCAAAGTATTAGTTAGTGGTGGTTTGCATACTAGTGGTAGTATTTATGTAAGTAGTGCTGACTTATATGATCCCGCAACAAATACTTGGACATCTGCTGGTTCGATGAGTTCTCCACATGCTGATGCTATGGCAGCTATATTAACAAATGATACTGTCTTAGTTGTTGGTGGAAGTGCTGTGGCCACTTTATCTAGTGCTGAAATATACAATCTCCCAACAAACACTTGGACAGGTACAGGTAGCATGAGTGTTGCTCGAGAGAGGGCTACAATATCTGTATTATTAAATGGAAAAATATTAGTTGCTGGAGGACGTAATGGTCCATCCATAAATGTTGCTGAATTATATGATCCATCGATTCACACCTGGACAGTTACAGGAAGCATGAATTGTGCGAGAAGTGGTCATGCAGCATCCGTTTTATCAAATGGACATGTATTAGTTACAGGTGGATGCGATACTACTAGTGTTGCTGAAATATATGATCCATCAACAGGAACTTGGACAGTCACAGGAAATATGATTGCTGCGCGCCGCTATCATACAATGTCTCAATTGACAAATGGAACAGTATTGCTTGCTGGTGGTGTTGTTGATAGCACTAATACTTATTTAAATAGTGCAGAATTATATTAAGCATCATAAATATGACAATATTTTCTTTTGTTAAGTTAAAACTATTTATTTATAAATACTTTAATAAAATTATCATTAATAATATCTTATAGTTGTTGAATAAAATAAATGAATTTATTTATATGATGGAAAAAGGTTGAATCGATAGTTCTCAAGATTTGTGTCTTAGCAATTGCTTCTAATGATAGAAACTTGTGAGATGCGTATATATATGTATACTTTGCATTATAAATAATAATAGGATAGATATGAGTGTAATTGGAACAAAAGAAAGTTAGAACTAACACCACGTATATTTTTGTACGTAAAATTCATCTTGTCAATGAACATGTTATTGTTGTAATGAATGTTGTGCTTTGGTCTCTGTAATTATTTTTTAAGATTATGCTCTATTAGTTGTCATTCCGCTTGGAAGCGCCTAGAATAACTTTTACTTTAAAGGATGTGAAACGGAAGAAGAGATCGGATCGAATATGGGTGAAAAGAAGGAGACAAACAATAGATTAATCATTATATATTAGTATGTGCTGATCGTTCAGCAAGAGTGAATGAACGAACAGAAAAAGAAAACTTGATAAGCCACAATAGTGTCAACTAATAATGCCTCAATTGATTTTATTCTGTCTAAATAAGAAATTAAACTGTTTCTTCAAACATTTCATTTGTTTGATATTTGACAGGGTGAGAGTGTAAGTGTAAGATAAATATAATATTCATATTCATATTTATCTCTTATCTCAAATATTTCTGCTTGAGATTTCTGGTAATTACAAATCAATAGTTACATGATCGAGTGTCAACGAAACAATCTTTTCAGCAACTTCGATAATATGTCAAATAAATCTACAGTGATGAGAAAAGAAATCAGTTGAGGTGAGACATATAAGAAGGATGTACATGATCGTTTTATCCACACCCGACACCCATGGTCGTCTAGTTTCAGCTATACTATGTATTAAATATCCAACTTCACTAGTTCTTCACCAATCGCTAATACACTACATAAATTGAGAGAAAAACACAATCAAACAAGCTTTGAAAAAAACAATATTTTTTACCTCGTAAAAACGTGGTATTTTTTCAACGTTTGTCTGCCTGAGGATTAATGTGATTACCAATAGAGAAGGAAAAAATGATGTGTACGATGAATGTAATCCCTTAGAGAGAGAGAAACGGCGAAAAGAAAAAATACGTCCATACTTGACTATATATGTACATATAGGTTCGAATATTGCGAAGAAAGTATAAAAAATATTTAAAGAGATATCAGTTGTATTGATTAGTAACAAAAACTAAAGAACAATATGGGTAAATTAGATGGTAAAATTGCTCTGATTACTGGTGGCTCTGAAGGTATTGGTTTTGCAACTGCTCAGCGTTTCATTACTGAAGGTGTAGAACACGTATTCATTACTGGAAGACGCCAAATAAAACTTGATGAAGCGGTGAAAAAAATTGGTGCAAAGAATATCACTGCCGTACAAGGCGATACATCGAATTTAGCCGATCTTGATAGATTGTTCAGTATCATCGAAAAAGAAAAGGGTCGTTTAAATATTATTTTTGCCAATGCTGCCACTTGTACATTCGCAAAGTTGGGTACGATTACTGAAAAACATTTCGATGATACATTTAATGTTAATGTTAAAGGAGTATTGTTTACTATTCAAAAAGCATTACCACTTTTGTCTGATGGTGGATCGATTATTTTGAATGGATCTAATTCTTCGAATAAAGGTGATCCAGGTTTGAGTGCTTATTGTGCAACAAAAGCTGCAATTCGTTCTTTTGCTCGTTGTTGGACAGTCGATTTAAAGGAACGTAAGATTCGTGTGAATACTCTGAGTCCCGGTGCCATCAATACTCCATTACTACGAAGTCTGGGAAAAGATGAAGAAGAAAGTGAAATGCTCATTGCTAGTTGGCAAGCAGCAATACCAATGAATCGAATCGGCACACCTGATGAAGTGGCTAAAGCTGTCGTCTTTCTCGCTTCTGATGATAGCAGTTATATAACTGGTATTGAACTTTTTGTTGACGGGGGTCTATCACAAATCTGACATTTATCTTATCTGATTTATAGTGCTAGCAAGTATTAAAATATTAAATTGTAACGAGGTTCAATAAATAAATGAAAAATAAGAAGAAAAATTGTTTATTAAAAGAAATAAATTTCTGAATTGAAAAATAATCATGATTTTATTCACTATTGATAAATATCAGTCTGAATCAGTTGTATAATAAGAGTGACGATTCAACAACTAACGACAACTGTAGACAGATTGAAATATTCTTTTTCCTTCGCTGTTCTATACTGCCAACTAGAAACTCAAGGTAAATCGAAGATATATGGAATGTATTGTTAAGTATTTATTTTTTTTGATTTATTTTATATAACAATTATATGTAAGTCATGTTTTTCTTGAAAACATAATCTGATCATTGTAAATATAAATAAAAAAATAAAAAAAACAAATGTATTACTTACAAAATTGTTTTTAAATAGTCAGATATGATCTACATAATAAATCTCGATTTATTTTAGAATATATATATAATGATGGTACCATTACCATTGAATACAGTCATTTCACTTCATGGATCATCTTCAATTTATCCTGTATATCGATGTCGTTTCTATGTTCTCTTTATTTTTTCTTTTCTCGCTTTTAATCAATGTCTTTTTTGGTTAACATTTTCTCCTATTTCTAAAAGTACTCAAATCTATTATCATATTGATGAGAGTACAGTTAATCTTCTTCTCAATTGGGGACCAATTATATTTATTCCTTGTTTACCATTAGCATATGTTTTATTAAATAAACAACATGGTCTTCGAAAAACTGTTTTATTACTTGCTATAACAGATTTTATTGCTGTATCATTACGAATTATGCCAACAATTTTTATATCACCGTCTAATTCTTATTTTACTTCAATTTCTTTATTATTTATACATATTGGTCAAATTTTAAATGCTGCATGTGGTCCATTAGTCATGGCTCCAGTATCTCAACTCTCATGTTTATGGTTCGCACCTGACGAAAGAACACGTGCAACAACATTGGCGATTATGGCTTGTAGTCTTGGTTCAACTATTGGTTTTCTTATCACTCCATGGATAGTGACTAAATCTGAACATGTACCATATTTACTACAACTACATTTTATTCTTGCTTTTTGTGCACTGGTATTAACACTTATTTATTTTCCAGCACATCCTCCACATGCTCCATCGGTTTCTGCTCAATCATTAATTGATATGTCGATGAATGAACAGAATGAGAATTCATTACGTAGTTATCTCAATGATATTTGGCGATGTTTTGATTCTCCATCATTTAAATTACTTTGTTCTGTTGGAGGAATTTCAGGTGGCGTATTCGCTGCCTGGACTGGGCTCTTTTCTAATATATTAGCAGCTGAAAATTTCACTGAACAACAATCAGGTGAGATAAAATACAAATAGATCTATTAACGATTTTTTTCTCTTTTTGTTTTAGGTTGGTTTGGTTTTACTTGTTCGTTATCAACGATTATTGGTGGTTTAATTACAAGTACACTTGCTGATACACGTTATTTTCGTCGTTCATTTAAATCAATTATTCTTACAATGTTATGTGGTTGTTTTCTTGCTGTATTATATTTTCAACTTTCCATTCATACGATATTTTTTGATGAACCAATCTTTAAACCAACTGTAACAAGTATTGCTCTTTCAGTTACATTTGCTGGTCTATTTCAAGGTTCAGCAATACCATTAGTATATGAATCTTTCGCTGAGATAATGTTTCCTAAACCAGAATCTTTGTCCGCATCGGTGCTTGTTCTATTGAATAATGTAACTGCATTGATAATGTTATTTATCCCTCCAAGTTTATACAAATTATTGAATTTTCTTGTTCTTTTTTCTATTGGTCTTTGTACTGTATTAATGATGTATGTAAATATTGATTATAAAAGAAGAAATATTGATGAACGAAAACAATAAAAAGAAAATATAATTTTGTTGACAGTTAATATTTAATTTATGTATATATATTATACTCGAAAAATTATTTTTATTATTTCAGAAACGGAGAGAGACAGATAAAGATTGTGTTATTGATCGAATAGTCAATGATAATAAAAATGAGTTTGTAGGTAGAGTAACTAAACATCTTTAATCAATCAGTAAACAGATTATACATATGAAATTAAATAGAATATAGATGATTTTCTTTTCCTAAGACGACGAAAAATAAATTTATTATGAGAAAAAATATTACATATAAGCAATAGAAATTAATATCGATTCATTTTATAATCGTAACTGAATTCAAACTAAGGTCAATATGAAAAACATCTATGGAACAGTAAACAGTTATATAACTTACGTTTGATTATTAATTACATTCGTTTTCTTTTTTCACGATATGCAACTACAGTGATAGTAATTGCACTATGTTTATATCAAACATATTGAGGATGACATTCACACTCTCAAGTATCTAAAGATTTTTTTTCTAAAGACAAAATAACATTAATAAAAGCTGGAGTAAAGATAATTTTATTTATGTGCAAATATGGATTAATAAAATGAAGAAAAAAATTATTAGTTCTTGCAAGTATTCGTATAAAGAGATAAGTCATTTGATACACTGTTTGTAACAATTACAGTAAGTTTTCCATTTTGACCCAAATAGCCTGATGCAATAGAGCTCGGTGTACTTCCAGTTACGTATGATATTGCAGTTTGAAAGCTTCCATCACCCCGCCCCAACAATACACTAATACTACTATCGACTGAATTGACCACGCCCAAATCTAGTTTGTTGTCATTATTACAATCGCCAGAAACAATAGCTATGGGCCATAAGCCCACTGAGTAGTTCATAGGAGCTCGAAATGTTGCATTACCATACCCAAGAAGTATGCTCACAGTGCTGTCGTGTTCATTAGCTACTGCCAGATCTCGGTTGCCATCATTATTAAAATCATTAGATATAACTGAAATTGGCCAGTTACCGACTGTATAGTTCTTTGAAGTTGGAAATCCTCCGTTCCCATCACCAAATAATATCATAATGATGTTATCGTAAGGGCTTGTTACTACGATATCCAATTTGTTATCATTGTTGAAGTCACCAGCGGCTAAAGATGATGGTTTATGACCAGCTGCATAGAACGTTGAATTCTTGAAAATTCCATTTACATCGGCAAGAAACATGCTAATAGTCACATCATCAGAATTAGCGACAACCAAGTCCGCTTTACTATCGTTATTGAAATCAGCGGAAAGTAAAGCACCCGGACAGCTACCAACCATGTAGTTTATTGGAGTTTGAAAAAACCCATTCCCAAGACTTAGTAGTACACTAATAGTATTATCAAAGGAGTTGGCAACTACCAAATCTAGTTTCTTATCATTATTGAAGTCACCAGATAAAACAGCACGTGGATATACACCAACCATATAACTCATAGGACTTAGAAAATTTCCATCCCCACTCCCAAGTTGTACACTGACGGTATTATCGGCATAATTAGTTACTGCGAAGTCGAGTTTTTTATCATTGTTGAAATCCGCTATATGTACAGACCATGGTAAATGACCAACACTATATTGCTGTGGGTATTGAAATTTGCCATGTTTGAGACCAAATAATATAATAACATAATTGCTATCGTCACGGCCTACTACTAGATCTATATAACTATCATTATTCAAATCGGCTGATGTAATCGACATTGAAAAGAGACCAATTGTATAGCTTACAGGAGTTTCAAAGCTACCCATACCATTTCCAAACATAACACTAACGATGTCATTATTTTGGATGATGATTGCTAAATCTAATTTACCGTCCTTATTAAAATCGCCACATGTCATCCAAAATGGAGCGCCATTGACTATATAGTCTATTGGAGCTTGAAAAGTGCCAGTTCCATTTCCTAATAACACGCTAATACTGTTATCACCTCGGTTTGCAACGGCAAGATCCAGTTTGCTATCATTATTAAAATCGCCTGACAACATAAAAACTGGATAGTAGCCGACCGTATAGTCTATTGAAATTTGAAAAGTTCCATTAATATTAGCAAGTAGAATACTGATTGTGTTATCATCGGAATTAGCTACGACTAGATCAAGTCTATTATCACTATTGAAATCTGCAGATATAACAAATTGTGGACAGTTACCAGATTTATAGTTTATTGGTGCTTGAAAACTTTCATTTCCATTTCCATATATTACAAGAACGTTGTTGTTGACGGAGTCTGTCAAAAGTAAATCTAGATTTGTATCATTATTGAAGTCACCACTTATTGCCGACGAAGGCCATTTATCAAGCGTATAATTTATTGAAGTCGGAAAAAGTCCATTGCCATCACCAAAAAATACGTAGATAATGCTATCAATATAATTGAATACTACAAGATCTAGGTTTTTATCATTGTTGAAATCCCCTGAAGTGACATAAGAGGGCATTCGACCGACTTTGTAAGTCCCAGGAGTTTGGAGAGTACCATCTTTGTTTCCAAGAAATAAACTGACAGTATTGTCAGCAGCGACGACTGCCACATCTAATTGACTTTCACTTCTAAAATATCCAAATGTTGCAGAAATTGGTCTGTATCGAGTCTGATAGAAAGCTGATGCTTGAAAAGGATTGTCACATATCGATACTAAAAAAAATAAAACATCGAAGCACTGTCTTAAGGAAAAAAAATATCGAAAATTGTACCTGGTAGATTTGTGTGTGGTCTTGTTGCCAATACAGATGCGATAATAATTCCTGCGATGATGAGAGTACACAAAATACTGATCGGAATATTAAATCTCTTCTTATGATACCAATGACGCCTTATAAATATATGTATAGATAATTAGAAAAGAAAAAAACAAGATAAAGCTTACTTAATTTTTGGATAAATATATGCACCTAAGTAAATGTAGATATGTTATGAATTTAAAATAAATAATGGATATTCTTTGACATACCTGGAAATGGTGGTTCAAGTAATACTTTTTCAGGTCTAACTTGTTTCAAATGAATAATATAAAGATCAGGTGCTGGACTTAATTGTGATTGAACAATCATATGAGTACCAGGTAGAAGAAGAACTTCATCTTCTGTACTAAAATGTGAATGATCACGTATTATTCGACCATTAATAGTTTCCACAGAGAATAACGTTCGAT